GGAGTCTTGTAAAAGAACTTTTAGGCAATAATTAGTTGCAAAAAAGATAAAAGTTATATCGAAATAGATGTCTTAATATTTTTCTGGTATATAAGCATTTATTATGGGTTCGGTTGACCGTGCCTACGCGTAAAGTGATAGCATGCGCAGCTGAAAATCTCTTAACTCAGTTGTTTTCTACTGTTCTGGAAGTTCTTTCATCGCTATATTCAATAACACTTTTGGCGATTAACCCCAAAATAGGAGCTGGCCTGACTGGAACACATTTTTCCTGGTTAACTATGCTAGGCTGAGTAATATCCTCTAATGAGCTTTGTTTCCTCACCGCCAAGAGCCAAGAGCGCGACCCTGATTCTTTAATAGCGCATGTTCAAGAGGAACGAGGTTTTGTACATAAAAACAAATTTTTAAAAATAAAACGATGGTGTGGAGAGACCTGTCTATCAAGCCAGCAATGTCAACCCTGTTCGTGTCAAGGAGCCACTTAAGGGAGACGAAAAATAAAAATAAAAATAACATAGAATAAAGCACACAAGCACCAATACTAATAATTTCCCGAGCCTTAATTTGGACAAAACGCAAGCGAAATTATTTACTAATTTCACATGTATACCATTTGATTACCTATTAACGCGTGACATTGCGCAAAAACAAAAGAAACTTGTCAGTACCCATGATATTGAGAAATAAAAGTTCACGATGCTCTCATAAATTTGTTCAAATATCCTGATAATTTGACTCTTCTTCGACTTTTAAGCACGAATGCTGCTAATACTTACCTAATATCCTCTAAAAAACTTAGCCGTGTTTTCTAAATTTCGGTTTCTTGTTTATGTAACACTGCAGACGCTATTATGGTAAAGTTATTTTCATAGGGTATTAAATCTTCTTTTAATAACTTTAGACAACCACTGAAAGCAGCTGAGAGCGTCAGTTCGGCACCATGCACTGATATATAACGACCCTAATTTGTTACATGACGATGAGAAAACTTCAGAATGTTACAAAGACAATCTAGTCGAGAGCTTTTCTACCGCTTGAACTTGCTATCACCGTGGATCAAAAACGCTCTGGGTCAGAATTTCGATTTATCTTCAACGTCGTTCTGGAAAATGCTACTTAATTTTTTATAAGTTGTGTCAAAAGTGTTGGCTTTTTTTAACATGTCATGTCATGCCATCTCATGCTTAAGCAACAGGAATTTTTACCCCATTTATAAAGTGACATTGACACTACAATAAAATTCTTTATCTTAGATAGCAAGCCTTAGTTATGATGTGCAATAATTAATGCATCTGTCAATTGAAACCCCGGCCCCCCGGCCCACACGGCATAGCGGGAGATAGCAGGGACTTAACGCGGACAATGTGGGGATTTAACACACATTTAACAAGATGCCTGTCCCACCCGGGTCATGAGCGGGGATTTAACAAGCACGCATTTTCAGAAGGGGGGACAGCAACGGGGAACTGTATCCTTTTTCGGCAGAAACAGTTGTTTGAGGGCATCAACTCCCTTTGAGATTTGTGGATCTTTTGAAGTCTCTAGAAGCTCTATCATTGTATGTTTAAACCTTGCTGAGTGTGACATGCAGTGTTCTGATAAAGTGACAGGTGTTTTTATAGGTACACTGGGAAATGTAAGTGCATGCATGTATATGGAGGTATAAACGTAGTAACTGTTCAAATATAAAAGGCAACAACATTTGGACATCCACATCACCACGTGAACATCGTGCGGCTCTATTTCCTGTGCACCTCTCGTGAAGGAAGGGGGCCAGGCGATACCTAGATGCCATTTTCAAAATAACCAGAATTAGTTCCATGGCAATGTTGCAAAACAAGTCATTTCCTGACCCTGGTCTTTCCCTAGTGTTCCTCGGCCTGATGTACGCATACCATGATCGAATTTGACTGTAGGTCATATAAAGAGGTCCAATTTCACTGCAGTTGGTGAGTATAGTCGAAAATATGGTTGAATTTAGGAATACGTACAGTTGAGACCAGCAAATACCGTAAATCCGAACTGAATCGTGATTATTGTTTACGCCTAGTAATGCCCCGCTATACGGGGCTTATAACAAAATGTTTGGCCCGGGGAGCCGGGAAATTAGCGGTGTTTCAACACGCGGCCACTGATAAATTCCCGGTCAATTTGCATGGTCGGGGGGCGGAGTTTCAATTGACTGATGCATAATGTCATGCTCTTTTAAAAAAGTTATGTTTTATCCGGAGATTTATAAAGTACACAAGTTGCAACTGAAAAGATACCATAGTTAACTTTGAAATATTTGTTGTGTAATGCATGTATGCATTTATATTTTGTTGTCGCAAACTCAAATATATTATATTATATTAACTAGTAATCACCAAAGGTTACGGAGTGCGGGCGACAACGATCGAAGGTCAAAATCACTGTGCTTTGCGTACTAAGTTTCACGTGAGAGATAGTCAAAACACGCGTAATGAGATTACGAGTGATAGAAGGTCCAAACGCGCCTGATCATATTGCGTTCTGTGCATTACAATCATTCTTAGTGGAAGTCCAAACCAATGCTGGCTACATACATGCGACGCATGCGTAATAGAACCCGAAGAATAAATTCCTACTTTTGACCGGTAAGGTATTGAGACCGCTATCAACAACGATTTAAAAAAGGATGATTGTGCTCAAAATAAACATAAGTAGAACAATTGGACATTGGCTGATTTATGCCCGTGTGCTATTCAATGCATTGCATTTTATAATATTTTCAGGTGGAGTTATGCTACATACGCCATGTTTTACGCCTGTGTATGTGAATCGTTTGCATTTATACAAACACAATAAACTAAAATGTGAAAGAAACAGTGTTTTGGAGGAAACATCACAAGGTCTAAAATCAGGCTATGTTCACATTATAGCGCATACTAGCTTTTAAGCGGGCACGAAAACTGGGTAGGGCTAGCCTTCTGTTCGCGAATTGAATAAGAACGGTTATTTCGGAGCGATAGCTCTGTAAAGGAGCGAAGCTGTGCTCCGCACCGATCTCTAATTATAAAGTGGAGAGTCACGTATGGGTGAGTGTTTATCGGCTATACCGGATAGGCCTACCGGATGGCGTTTTTGCAATCCGGTGTGAATATAGCCTCAGGTTCTGTTTCGAAGCCAAGCTAAGTGCTAAACCATTGATATGAAAATGCAGTTGTACTCTTGAAAACTCATTTTCACAAGAAAGGTTTTTGATTTAGCCTCGTTTTGAAAGTGAGAGTTTTATGAACTGGGAAATGGCCATAGTCCTAATTTTACAGGAGGGTTGTTACAATCCCTTAAGGGTACTCCTAATTGTTTATTATTATGACTGGATTAATTTGTTACACTTCGACTAGGACTTTTAGTTTATATCCTTATCGCAATCTTTATTATAGTTAAACTATTCACGTAAAAAGCTATATACGTGCTCAACCGTTTCTAATTCTAATTCTAATTTATTATTTTTTTGCACAGTGTATAATTACTAGATATTCTTAAAAAACACCACCACAACAAAGGTATCATACTAATAAATGACAAAGAGTGTGTTTTATCGGCATTAGATGGGTATCTCACTAAATATCAAAATACGTTTAAATAATTGTCCATGAAATATAGATTAAAATTCAATAAAAAATGATTGACTGATTTAGCTTTAATATGGAAATTCGAAGTTGATGTTACAAATTCTTCATTCTCTATTATTTTTCTTGTAAAATCGAAAACCTAACAACGATTTATTTGCATGAGGCGTGGCTTCTCCTTTCACTACTGGGTTCGGCACGTTATTTTCTTCTCGGGTTTAATTTTTTAAGGAGAGTTTAGAGTTTTTCACGGGAATTGTTCATAATTATTTTAATTTTATTTTATATAATATGGTCTATAACAGAATGGACCAGTGAAAGATGCTTTCTGTTCGTCAATTTACAATAACGAAGTGAATCCAATGGTTGCAACAGACAACAATTTCAATTGCCTGTACCCTTATAAATGTCACTGCAAACTTTTGAAAATTTTACATTTATTTTTATGATCTATATTTAGAAAGGAAAATTGGTGTGTATTTGTTTAATTATATCTAATTATTTCCCCTCTCGACGGATTTTACAATGTTATATACAGGGTGGAAATGAATTTTTGTTTAATATTAGAATTACAGATCATAACGTACATACGCTGCACAATAGTCCGCCAAATGTAGTCAGAAGTTTTCGAAAAAAAAGCAACTTCATAACAAAACCGTCAAACACGAAAAAGAGTGTTTCTTTGGAAATTGAATAAGAGTAAGAACACCTAGTAAACTAACTTAATCGTGAATACTTACATAAACCATTCTGTTCAAAGTTTGGTAAGGCTTCTCGTAGCATTTAGACTACGAGTAGTCCCCATTTTTCCTCAGGGATAGTAGAGCGAGCGAAACGCGAGCGCGCGTGAAAATCACCCCAAGCGAGAAATTCGAGACGCGGCGGGGAGAGAGAAAAATGAGGGACTTCAGACAAAGCCGAAGCTTTTGACCTCTCACGGCCGACTGATTTTGGAGTGTGAAGTTCGTATCGCCTTTCAAATCAATGAAGCGCATCCAATGGGATTCCTTCAATAGAAGGGTGAAAAGCTTGGGCTTTGTCTGTAGTCCCTCATTTTTCTCTCTCCCCGCCGCGTCTCGCCTTGCTCGCGTGGGGTGATTTTCACGCTTGTTCACGTTTCGCTCGCTCTACTATCCCTGAGGAAAAATGGAGACTTCTCGTGGTCTACACAGCATTCAGATAAAATGGTTTTCATTTAAGCATTGCGGACTCTTTTATGATGATTGAAACTATCTGTAAAATCGGGTTCTAAAGCTGCTTAAGGGGGCTTGGTCACACCATTTTCCATCTTTTTATATAACTTGTCTTTGCATCATTTGAATTACCAAAATAATGGGAGAAACTTGTTATTTAATACTATATTTAAGCATTGAAACTGTTTAGTGTGACATCTGTTGCTGCGGATGGTAATGGTGGAAATTTATCATTATTAATTTGCCTTTTATCTTCTTCATAACGCTACAAGAGCATTTTATGTATAGCACTACGTAATAACGACAGCACAGAATTTACCTAAAACAGCAATACCCTCAGTGGTGACATGACCCCCTCAAGTTTAATTCGATTTAGGGTTTTATACAAGTTCAGGCCGCATTTAAAGAGCTGTCGTGAATTTAAAGGTTGGCATTTTCCTCATTAAGTGACTGTCGTAAAGATAGACGTCATCCGAGCCTGCTGTCAATCGGATGCGGACTATCTGATTAGAGCCATGCGGCCTGGCCTGCCATACTTCACCAAACTTGCTTCGAACGAGGCAGGTGATCAGTTGAAAGTCTTTTCTTGTCCATTGAGGAATGTTTGAGTATCGATGAGCACCTTAAAAAAATAATAAATCAATAAGTTGATAAGTTAATAAATAAAAAAAATAAGCACACCTTTAGTTTGGTTTTCACCATGGGCTACAGAAGAAAAGTTGTTGTAAAAATCCGCATCGTTCTGCCAAGCTCTGCTATTAAAACTTATAGCTTCTTATATTCCTCTCTTTGGGGGCTTGGGGGTGGAGGTGTTGCTACTATTGTTTGTTCTAAAATGGCCTCTTCAGAAGGCCATTTTACAATCTAAGAGTCCTTGTTATACCTTCTGGTCTAATTTTGGTGATGGAACTGATTGAAAAAGTAATAGGAACTCTTTATTTATGGGTGGACACAAAATTCTGAATGAAAAATTTTGGCTGATAGTTGCAAATCTGACCTATTGGATACTTTATTTACTCAAAACTATCCTGATTTCAGCGCTAATAGGACAGTGTAAAAGGTCAGTACGCGTTGTGCCTATGTAACAGGGGCACCCAACGACAATTTTCGGAAAAATATCTGTTCGGAAGACGATTTTAGATCTAGAATTTTCGGAACATTTGTTGTAAAATTTCTTGCTTGCCTGCCTCTCCTAGGATTTTCGAACATCTAAAAAATGGTATAATTGCCTATTTTTAGCGGATTTTTACCCTAAAAAGGTCACCTATAATTTTCGGGAGCCTTTTTTCTGGCTGAAATTTTCGAAAAGGTAAGTTTTGATCCCTATAATTTTCGGATCACTAGACTTTCAGCTAGGAAATCCGAACAGATGAAAAATTTTTAGGGGATAAAAATATGCCTTTATCTACCGTTTAAATACTAAAATACGTTTAACAATGCTATGTTTAAGAGGTTTTGGACTATAATCTCGTTGGGTGCCCCTGATGTAACTAGACAGTACGGGCGGCCATCGCACGCGCGCACTTGAGTGGTTTTTTCCACTGCTAGCAAATACTCTTGGAATTTGTTGTGTTTTAATGTCATAAAAAGCCTTAAGTATCACAAATGTTGTTATAGCTATTATTAATCAATGACACTAGAGAGAGAACTTCGTGTCCTCCAGTGCGGTCTGTAATCATACTCGTAATGAAACAAATGGGATGACCACGTGGCGTTAATTACTCGTATGATTACAACCTGTATTGGATTCCACTCAGTCCATCCATTATTAACCGCTGTTACAGACGACTGCCATAGAATGAGAAAAGTAAATCGTAGTACTTTCTGACTACAGACATACCAATCTTTTTTTTCATTAAAAACGAGCGTGAGACGTAGTTCCTTACCCACACCCCCAAAGACTCTTGATCATATTTCTGGACTTTAGTCGAATGGCGATTTGCGCAAGTTACCATAAAAACATATGATTTATGCCCTGTTTGTAGTTTACCAGGCACCAGAGGTAACCTCAAGAGAGAATACTGGGACCGGGATATGCGAATTTCACCAAACTTATTTTTAGAAAAATTAATTGCTTGGATTAATCGGAAGTTGGACTCCGGAGAGGTGCGCAAAATTTTAACAAGCGTTGCCAAAAGAGAATTCAACAGTCGCCATCACAAAATAATATTCTGCATTTTTTTTGCATTAAGGACTTGATTTCAGGGTTTGATTTAAATGTGTCAGCGACTCAGGAATTACACCTCCGTTTTATTCCAACCTCTAAAAATAGCTTTTGTAAAATTCTCATATCCCGGCCAACGCCCTAAGATTCCCTTCTCTGTCGTAATGGTCTCTTGGTAACCTATGATTGTGGCCTTGGAAAACTTGGCAAAGAAATCTACCTTTCTCTATTACCTCTCTCTATAAAAATCTAGATTTACAAATTAGTACATCGGTGATAAAAACGACAAACCTCTATTGCAGACAACTTGAGTCAATGGGCGCCGTCTTCTATTAGAGCTCACTTTGTGCAGCATATACGCAATCGCGATGAGGGAACTAAAAATCGTAACGGCAACAATCTGGGCCCAAATCAGTAACCTTAACTTTCTGATCGACTCTTCAATTTCTAAAGAAAGGTGACAGAAAGAAAAAAAGAAATCGAAAGAACTATGGTACAATTATTCACCTACCTTAATTGTAGTCTGTTTTGATATATTCTCATACACTGAACGATTCTGATCTGCTGTTAAACTCGGTCGCTTGAGCATTCGATTTAAGGTATCGCTATAGGTCAGTCTCAGAGAGGTTTAATCGATAAGGCCTCGGCTGTTCAAACGATGGATTGGGCTATCCACTGGATAGATCATTATCCAGCGGATAGCTTTTTCGTTAGTTCAATAACTACACAATAACCACACTAGCAGTTCAATGACCACACATTAGTTCATTGAGCGTAAACTACGTGTAGCATTAAGTAAGTGGTAAACACTCATTTAGCAACGATACAAAAACTAAATTAGCAAAAATAGCCATGGTACACTGTTATTAAGTTGTAGCGAGCTCACTAATGTAAACAGGAACATAGACTGATGGTAATTTAAAAGTTATAGTCTGCTCCGAAGGTAAGTCATTCTCATCAAGGGCACAGTGAACAGACCAGGAAAGAGAGTCAGTGCTGAAAAGGGAAAGCTAACTCGGTCCGGAGGAAACTACCAACTAAATAACCCGACGAAACGCGCTTTGAGAAAGCAGAAAACATAACGGTCAACGGTGGAGCGGAAACCTTGTTCTCTTCTTGTTCTGCTCTCTTCCCGCACGTTTCAAACTGTGGTACCACAGCTGGCCCTACGTGCCTGAGTCAACTAACACCAGTCCATTTTTAATGAATAGATAATCTGTATCACATAAGTCAAGAATTTTCCAACTTCCCCGGCTGTTTTAACTTGAAGTTAGGGAACAACTGTGTTATTTATTAGAGAGAAATTTAATCAGTGAATAGCGTGATCCATCTTTTGAACGACTGCCAATAAATTAGCTAATCATTCCTAGTCCAATTTAAAATTGGAATTAATTCCTACCGCTTTTTCCCTTCTCTTCCTCAACAAATAGAACCAAGAGGCCGTTACACCTCTCCTCAGTACAACAGCAGAAGTACTCTTTGGCCGCTTGTTTGGGAGAGTTTCTTTTCCGTGCATGCGCAATACACATTAATGATCCACAGTCGAAGCTATTCTTCTGCGCGCAATCTTGCATCACAATACTCGGTCCAAGTCCCCTTTGATTTCGCTTGAACAATGCACAGCATTCCGGCTTGACTCCAGGGAAGTGAACACACTGCTGAAGTGTGTAGCACGAAGAGTTTGTGGGTGCTGTAGGATCGGACTTTTTGCATTTCGGGTCAAACAGGGCGCAGTCTAATGCTTTGCTTACAGAAGCAAATACTGCAATGAGATCATCAAGTTATCTTTAGTCGTTTCATCAAGTTATCTTTAGTCGTTTCTGATATCTCTGCGTAAATTTTTAAAGGCTAGCTTAGTAAATCGTAATAAGCAACAACACTGGATGGGGGACTTGAGCCAGACTGATCAGGGCACAGTTTACAATTAATTTAGTTATGGTTGTATAAATCCTCCTTGATGTAAAAGCGAATTTGAGATAGACCACCACACAGGGGACTATATCCCTACTCCTTACGAGCAGTGCGTGGGTCCTTTAACGTCCTACGTACAGAATTTCATAAGAAAGGGGACTGTAAGACGGGACCTACACGGCTTTCGTCTTTATCCGAGAAGAATAGACAGGCTAACCGTTTGCAGATAACGTTGCAATGCAAATGGAGCACTTTATCCTCAAAGACCTTCAGTGTTGGTCTGGCCGGGGTTTTGTTGTGGTTTGCTTGGCAGACGAGTGCTATAATCCAATTGTATGAGTTTCTTGGTACGCAAAACTTCTGGTAAATTATACTCATCTTACTATTCTAGACTGTATGAGACTGTATTATCCTATGCAAAGATTCCGATTGCCACAAGTTCGAGATAGCTCCAGGTCCAGACGCTTGCCTGGATGGTGTTATAACCTCATGTAACCTAAACTAAAACACCCCTCTATAACAGACCTAGTGGAATCTATATCTTCTCACTGGTCCCCGGGTTCTAGGAGAAAATGTCACTGGGTTGGTTTATTTTCCACTGGGTTTTTCTTCTTAGTTGTATACTTCCCATAAAAGCGGAAAGGATGGCAGGCCTTACATTTTTACCAACATTAAAGCTTGGAACACCTTTTACGTTTGCTGTAGCGAGAAGAACTAAACTATTTACAAGTTTTTTATGCGAGATTGATTAAAGCTTGGAACACCTTTTACGTTTGCTGTAGCGAGAAGAACTAAACTATTTACAAGTTTTTTATGCGAGATTGATTACCTGTAGCCTTCTCTGTTAATAATGTCTTATATTTTTGCTCCTTTTAAACAAATATGAACAACGAAATACACTGGTCTTGAAGAAGTGATAAATAGAAAGTGACCGGGAACGCAAAAAATCAGCTGGGTAGATACAAAATATTCGCCGGGCGTCGGGGAAGCGAAGTTTTTAGGGTTTCACTGGGTCTGTTACAGATTGAGGCGTCTCAAGGGGTTTAGTTCTTTATATTCACTCGATCGTAATTAAACCATTAAAGTTGAGACCCAATGGATTCATTTGTATCAGACTTGCAAATTCAAAGTGTTCCAGCGTACATTATTACGAGTTCCCGTGCATTCCCTCAGGTTCTAGAGATTTTGCAACTTTTCTTAGCATGTTTGCTCAGAATAATTCTTTACAGTGCGTGGTCATATTGTTGCAACGAAACCAGTGTTTCAGTAGTTTATATCATAACAACGATTATAACTGATAAATTAGCTCGTAAACGCAGATTACCAAAGTCTACCCTGGCAGGGATCGTCAAGAGCGAGACATCGAGCCATTAACAGTTGTGGAAAATCGTCATCACAGAGGTTTTCGTTTACTGAAAACTATGACAAGAGACGATAATGCCTTTTAAGCATAAATGACATCCTACGGGTGGCCGCTATTTGTTTCTTGGGTCTTCTTTTTACAACATGATCATGTTAAGTATCTGGTTAATGTGTTCTTTAAGCTACCATACCGAAGAAGGGTAGCACTCAAGTACTGTTATTTAACCCTTTAATCCATACTGTAGAAGAGAGAAGTTTAATCTAAGGTACTTACATGAAATGTAGATACACCAAAACATTTTAAACGTCGCCTTTGCTGACTTCGTCCTCTCTGCTCAGTGGAGACAGAATACCCTATTAGTTAAGAGCCTAGATTGGCCATTTTTTCCTGGTAACGTAAATTAAAGACCAAAATTATGAGTCTGACCAATTCTAATCCCAAAGGCTGAGTCACTTTTGCCGATAATTGAATCTCGGAAACTGATTCGTCTTTCGTCTCTCTGCCGATAAAAATCCCGCTATCGCCTTCGAATATTCAATTACCTTTTCGGGCGTAAAGAAAAATAGAGAAATGGGGAACTATAAGTAAAAAGCATCAGTCCGACCCAAATTTTCCCTCACTTTCAACTTTTAATTTGTCGGTATCACTTTTCTGAAATGCTGTGGATCGTCACGTTATCTATAGCAATACCAATTAGAAAAGTCGATTCGATGGCTGATATAAATAAACGCTGGAAATTAAGGCTACCGGTTTGTATTTCAGCCTGGAGGCGCATTCCCAATTTAGTTTTGTTACCGAATAACCTGAAGCGGACTGATAAATGAAATCCACGATATTGGTTCTGTTTATTTTAGGTATTAAATATTCTGGTTTGGTTGACGTAAACAGGTCATGTTCATCACAGCGTCGTTAATTCTTGCTAGAACTACAACTACCATAAGCAATGTCATAGTTTAACTACTGATTCAAATTTGCCTTTTGATTCACACGAGAAAAGGAGAATTCTGACATAGTAAAATTGGACGCAGTCCGGTGGCGCGAAAACAAAAAAATTGTGGCCGGGGTTTTTAATGAAGGTAAAAGTGTTTGGTACAAATGCAACGGTGTTTGTTCACTTTCTTGGGCGGGACAATTTTCCTATAGATTATAACCAAAAAGTACAGTCTACAGAGCATACGCAATACTCACAACAAGTGATATCTAAAGGAACTCGCTTTATGGAACATACTACCATCGCACTACATGGAAACAAAATCTGATATGTACGAGCCCGACCTAAAACCAATTTTCACGAAACACTTCCATTAGGTTCTTCAAATCAAACCTTGCCTATAAAGAGGATAAAATGACGCTTTCCGGAGAAAGAGTTTTTACTGAAATACTCGTCATGAAAAGTTAAATTTAAAGAAACGAATCTAGATATTCTGCATGAAAAAATCGACAGCAACAGGACAAGAAGGTCTTAATGCATGGTGACAAACCGTTTACCAATTCGTATCCGATCTATAAAATACAGTAAGCTTTTAACAAACTCTTTGTAAAGAGACGATTTAGTGATTGCTATCCAAATGACCTGCTCCACTGTTTGAAGAAAACTGACATCTAGCAGTCCAACAAACTGTCTGAGAACACGATTACTAGAGCTAATTCTTGCCATGCATAGAATGGTTCGTGTTCCTGATAACCACATCACGCCCGTAATAACCAGTAGTAATTAATTTTCTATGGATTTTGGGCTCCCACAACAGCTACCAACCCAGACCAGACTGTTCTCTGAAGAGGCATGGACTGAAATGAACGTCGTGTAACCATATTGGAGGGACAAAAGGCTTCTCGCTCTTTTAAGTTTCCACGATTTTATCTGAATTTAAATTTTAACCTTATTTTAACTGATTCCTACAGATTTTCGCTTGACAGTGCTAATGTATCGTGCCTTTAAATTCTCGGCAGATTTTGCATCGATTTAGTCGAGAAAACTCCCCCTATTGGCTTCACGAGCCCAGTGGCGAATAAAATAAGTCAGAATTAGTTCCAAAACGAATCCTGATCATTGTTACGACACAGGTTCGGTTAAAGAATAAACCATGCAATCTTTTCAAATGGGGTTGACCTAAAATATCCTTGTTTTGCTTGTTTAAGTGAATCTGTGAATCTGTGAAAAGTGGCGATATACAAATCGCCCTAAACGTGCCTTTTGTTCAAACCAGCGCCATCACTTGAACTGTACTCGGAAGCCTGAATATTAGAGGAATAAACTGAAACAAGTGAAACGCAATTTCAATTTTATTGCAATGTAGTAGTTGCTCTTTAAATCACGAAGTCAGAAGTAAGATTCCGTTAGAATGAAACAAACTGAGCAACAGAACTGAGTGGTTTGAGAAACAAAACCCACTGTTTTGTAATACACTGTTTTTTGCAGTATTTGTTTCTTTGAAGAAGCTGTGTCTCACCGAGTCGCATCTCTACTCCGGTTACAAATTGAAGCTATCTGTGAGAATAATATTAAAACAAACAGATCGAGGAAAAAAAACCGCTGCTTGATATACGTGCGGACTAAGTACTGAACTTACAATGCTCATTTTCAATCATACTAATCACTAGAGCCTTTATTATAGTAATTTAAAAACAAAGCTTTTCTATCTTTTTCCTTCTCTTAAACTGCAATTGGTCACAGAATTTATGTGAATTTTCCAAATAATTTTCCTTACGTGTATATTGACTCATATCAGAAACGAAATTGACGACTATGAACAATAATACATGTATGTTAGTTAATGAGTCGTGAACTCTAGATAAGGAAAATTAACATAAGTGAAGTTCATACTTAACTATGAAAGATTTGGAATTTTCTGTACACGAACCTATCATAAAATTAAAGAATTCATTCATGTGAAAACATGTTAGGAGGTTTATGTACTATGAAATATCGTGGAACGGCCTACCTTTTCAGCCTTTTTACGATTCCGAAGAAGGCGCTCGGTTAATCCTACTTGTCACTTCGTAGAGTGATTAACCGCCAAAAGCTGACTAGTACGTAAACCCGCTCAGCTAAAATATGTTTAGAGCTATACAGTGTTTTAAACGTGCGTCAAAAGTAAATACAAGCATTTTGTGGTGATCGTGAAGGCAAGATTCAAATGTCTTAACTGGTGTCATGACTGCTAAAATGCGTTAATAGATGTCACTCACTATGAGATACACCAATCAAATCACCAAATACCGCCACCAAATCCTGTCTGCAGCCTGCTTCTTTTAGCAGTCATGTCTGGTAAAAATTCAAATCCGTACGTGTTCTGTGGAATATCTTCGAAACCACTGTTTGCTGTAACATGCATCTGCGTTAACGCCGGGTCTACCGGTTTAAGAGTGTATAATTAACATTAACGGATAATCCCTTAAGGGTATTAGAACTAACAATTTTCAATTATTTTAACATCAAAGTGTCAGTAGAATTTTAATCTTTATCTCCAAAGTGCTAGTGAACTCACATAAATGGTAAACACTAGTTATAAGAGCGAAAGAGGTTGAGCACTCAAATGAAACTTCTAACAGCAATTCAAAACTTATGTAGACCCACACCGCGAACAGCAGAGGACAAAATAATATGGTGCCACAACACCTTGAATGACAGAATGAACCCTTAAAAATCTAGTGATTTCTACAGGTGGTGAGAAGAAAGTGCTACTAAACAAGGAGTCTTTCCTTTATTGAAAACTTTCTTTGTAAACTTTGAGCCATTAGCCAGCAGGTTGCTTTTTTTGCAACCTGCTAAAAGCCAATGAAGGGCGATATAACGGCTCGTGATCGATCGTGTGCATGCGCACGGCAGGACCAATCTGTAGACCATGGAATACACATGTCGAAGTCTTCAGGCAATGTTATCATTATTCCGGATATTGTTCGTGTGGCTCGATTTATTTTGGTTTTGTATTAACTCACTAGACTCCATTTTCAGCCCGATTTTAATAATGGGGCCCAACTGCGATTCTACATTCCCAATCGTGCTTCGTAAATAGTCCAGGTTATAGCGGATCGATTTCTGTGCTGGAAGATAAAACGTGCACGTATAGCGGTATCCACTTCAGTAATCTTAACATCTATTTATCGGTCTGCTAATTGAAATTTTGACAGACCTTTCCTTTGTCATGGCTGGTGTTTTTGTCTTCACTTGTGGCTCGACTTCGGCCGGTCGGAAACATTAACAGGTGTTGTATCTCAGTCTTTATAATTATTCCCCCTTCTCCTTTCTCAAGTCAAACTGAATGGATCACTTTTCTTTTCCTCAGGCATCAAGACAAGCCTCCCAATCTCACATTTTTTTTTTTTTTTTTTGCGGAAAATCATTCTGAGGTGAAATGTTACCTTGCTGAATAAAACGGAAAATTTAATGAGGAATTCTAGTGTCTCTCCTTTTTGTTTTGCTTTTTTTTTCGCACGCGTCTCCAGTTTTTCCTTTATGATCTAGGCCGGCGTTGGCAGGTCTGCGATTTCAGTACTCTACTTTGACCAAGTCACTTTATAACTCGGACCAGGTTTTTCTTCTTATATCTTATAGCAAAAATGCCTTTTTGTACAAAGCTCACAAAGCATTTAAGAAACGTTCGTTGCGATTTTTTTTGAATAATTTTCATGTCGGAAACGTAAGTTGCTCATACAAAGCCTTTGAGCTGTTTTGTCTGAGTCACGCGAGGGGTCTGATTTCTGACAAAACCTATTTTTGGTATTGAAAATATGCAAAGCGCTATTCAAGTAATTCTCTTCTATCTAATTTAATTCGTTCGACCTATTTTTATCGAGAGGAAAAGTTAGCCAAAATTAAACTGTTATTTAAGCATGTGGTACCGAATATAGTTCGTCGAACACATGGATAGTTGTTGTTTAGAGTCCCAGGAGATGTTTTGGGGGAGTTTTTTAAGTAATGATCCAGGTAAGAAGGGAAGCAATTTGTTTTGTTGTGGCGCAATACACGCGCTTTCCTCACAGAGAAATATTGTCATTTTTACGCAGAGAATGCATAAATCTACAAAAAGGCAGTTAACTAAAGAAAATGTATTTGAAATCCATTTTTAAAGGGTGTATTTTTGTGTTAAAACATTTCGACCAATCACAAGAGTTGCAAACAATGGCCAAGAAATGTTCACAATTTTACACGATCCGCACATACGATTTCTATGTTACTTAGCTGGACTCAGACGAGATTTTGTTATAAGGAAGTTGGATAGAAAAAAAGGAATAATATACATGCTGCTTTGCGAAGATTTCGTAAAATTCGACGTTTAAACCAATCAGAACCATAGTACAGACAATAGTAAAGTTGGCACCCTTTTGCATACCGACGTGTTCACTGCGTTTTGGTCCTTTCCTTTTTATCTGGTGTTTCAACCAATCACGTGAGTGACTTGAATTACCTCCAGCCGAGTCTACTGAAGCAACTTCAATTCTGGGCAATATATATATGTTAAATCAAGAAAATGTAATAGAAAAAAAATAATAAAGGCCACCGTGTGATCTCTGTAGTAGTAGAAAAATCGCCATCGGGGAAGACAAAACAAAGCAAACAAAAACAAATAACAACTCGCGGACACGCGGCTTCGATTCGCTGCAAGGAAATGATTAAACAACGTTTCTTTAGATCAAGAGAGAACCTTACTAGAGTGTTTTGTTTTGTAACGTGAGGCGTCTAAATCGCCTAAATTTCCACTTAAAAAGCGGAATATTTACACAGAAACTGTTATTATCGATTTTCTCGAATACTAATCGATAATTACCAAAACGAACCATACAGTGTTTTTTTTACATTAAGGTATACCTAATCTGAGATTAGGGGCTACTAAATTGATTTTTAAGCTATTGCCACGAGATGTTTGACCGACCGATGGTAACATCTGCTCTTACCTCCTCACTGCCAGAATGAATGTTGAAGTCTTTAGGTAGTTCTAACTTTTGAGTCTGTGAACAAAATCCTATGACGTGGCCATTCAAATGAAACCTCTCTACCTGTAGTTTCAAATGGTGCTATTTGTGTTCAACATTTTATAAAACAAAATTTGGAAATTTTTGTTCAATTTTGCCCCTGGCTACACTTGGCACTGAAATTATTTAAACTCAGTGTAAGGGGTCACGTAGCCTGCGTTGCAAGTGGCCTGAGTCTGCCGGCCCACGCACCGTCTAGACATTGGTTTTAGCTACAAATATATACGAAGACAAGTCTAAAGTATCGTGCGAGCAGAGGTTTCCAGCTGTCTCTCTTGTTAGTAAATTCTAAATCATTGGCCACGTACAAAGATAGTATTGCTAATTAAACCCGCCCACGCCTCTTAAACTAAGCCACCCCCGCCGAAAAAAGAAGCTGTTTTTTCTCTCGTGCATGGCTTTTAGCGTTTACAGGAGCCCATCAAATGGAGCCTCCATCTCCATTAATTTCTTGAGTCAACCCTTTCCCGAGTAGATTTACAAATAGAACGGCTTGTTTCCCGCGAAAAGTGTCATATTTCCGTGAGTCTCGTATGTCACCGTGAGAAAAATGAAGTTGGATGAAGTCGAACTTAGAAGCCCATCCTTCGACCGTTTTCCTTTTTACTATACGTCCATTTTTATGATTTTACAGCCGCTGGGATCTGGGTATCATGAAATAAAAGTTAATGAATTACCCGACTGAGACTGAGCAAGAAGCGATGAGACAAAGGCAGCGAACTGAGGATCACTGAAAGGTTATCTTTGCGAGTGTTTTTATTTGTCGTTATACATTTAACATGTACGCATGCACTTCGAAAAGAGTCGACGATTAAGCATTCTGTGGACGATTTGGAACTTTTCGACGATCAGCGCCGAAAAAGTGCCAGGATCATGATTTGATTTTTGTCATCACCGTGGAGTGGATTTCGCCAGTTAAGCAACGCGTGCAAAAGCGATGACCTAAGTAGTAACTAACGAGGATTGCTTTATTTCCGAAATTTGAGAAATTGCAGTCTTCCTCTACAACTGACTCGCATCACCATGAGAGTTGCCTGATAAAACTGGCACTTGAAACGTTGAACAGAAGAGAACAGTTGCTCGACCGTGAAGCTAACTCAAAAGTAATTTGCTAACGGAGGAATTTGTGACATTGCGCTGTAGTCCAAAGACCCACTTGTCTCAAGAAAAACAAAACGGATTGTATCTGCGACAAAAGAATTATGATTGACTGACAGGACAATTCTCAGCAGTTAATGTAGACGTTTAGGCTCAATTCTTTCCTTCGAATTTGCATCTGTAGATCACTTTTTTGTGAGAAAACAATGGCTGGGCCCGGCGTTACAAAACATAGCAGGGAATCATCCCACTAGCTGACAGACAAAACAACCACAAGGACTACCAGCATTTTTTCAGATAAACAGATTTCGGGAAAAAAAACCTTGAAAAACTAGAAATTTGATTAATATTGAGTCATTTAGCAGAAATAATAACCTTAACGCTTAAAAAATTGCCTAAAGAAAACGAATTCTGTCAGAACTACAGACTGCAGGTAGTAGTCAATCATTATGCATCTAACAGACCAGCTTTATGGTCTCTTAATGTGAGACAAGCAGTCAAAACTAAGATTAACATAGTCAGAGTTTAAAACTCTCCACAGTATAATCTACCGGCTAAAAGGAAAAGAAAGAAAATCTCTGAGGGATGAAAACGCTAAAGTCAGGTTTCACTAGCTTATGATTGTGTTTGGCCTGTCAACACCGAATTTCCTGTTGTTTGATGAAGTACAATAGCAGTGTCATTTCGTCGTTGTGATTGGCTCTTCCCACCGTCGGCGCGCGAAATCTCCCCTGGGAACCGTACTAATTATAAATCTACTCGGGAAAGGGTTGACTCCAAGGGCTTGTATGGGAGATGGAGGCTCCATTTGATGGGCTCCTGCGTTTACCAATTCGTTCGCGTCGCTTGTCGTCAGTCGCGTAGTTGGTTGTGGCGTACAAAACAAAGCAACTCAGGAGCGTAGCGTTCATATACGCACATACCGCGCCTGCGCAGCAAAAATTTGGAAAAAAAATCTTTTTCTTATTTCCTGAAAAAACATTTTTTTACTATCAAATCGGGATGAATGATATATTTTTGCACTATATTGGTGTGTTTGAATTA